CCGCGAGTCAAGCGTATAAGTTGCGCGTTCAGCGTGACCTATGCGTTAATTTAGCGCAAAAGCAACTGGTTTCTGCATAATTTCGTTGTGAAAGTTCCGACAACTCGAGCCAAAGATCACAAGAAACACTCTCTGCCGCCTCGTTAATGCTTTCCACATGACGTCACCGGTGTTACGATTCTATCTACTTATAGCTGAGGGAAATATGTTACCGTTTAACCTGGTATTCGCGCCATGCCTCGTTAATGCATTCCACATGACGTCACCGGTATTACGATTCTATCTACTTATAGCTGAGGGAAATATGTTACCGTTTAACCTGGTATTCGCGCCATTTTATCGCCGTCGCTGTCACAGAATGCTCGCGATTTGTGTAAGCTTAATTCAAAGAATATCACGGATCGTTTGCATGCGTCGGGAAATTTATATCTTCGATTCTTCGACATACATATTTTTATCGAGCATAAAAAATTGTAAAAGAAACATTTTTGGGCTCGGATTTTAGAATTTGCAAAGCTGCTTTGCTATGTACACGTTGTTTCTTAATTTTCGAAAGGCAAAACGCATCATTCTGAATGTTTGTATTTAAAATAGCTGTAGTTAATCTTAATAAATACTTTTCGCACTCTTCTTTTCGTGAGAAATTTTGGGAAAAGGACAATATCCGAGTATTTTTCGCATGGAAGATGCGAACCTAACCTTCGTTCCTTCGTGTATGACTAATATATGTTAATTTTCTGGTAAAATCATGATTTTTTCTGTTAATCAAAGTACTCTGTAAGAATAAATATCAGTAAAGAATTTGCGTATTCTTCCTCTGAGTAAGGAATGCCAAAAAAGAGCGAAAAATCCGCGCGGAAATACGGTATCCTTTCAAAAATGTTTATCTCGTAGTGGAAAAATGACTATAAGACAGGTTAATAAGGAACGTATGACACGGTAAAAGGAATTAAAAGTGAAATAACGAAATCTAAAACGTTAAGCTCCTGCTTCAGCATTTCATCCGCAGTTCTGTTTCAACGCAGACTGAAATTTATTTCCCTCGAGCGTATTCTCCAGAAAACTAAATTATACCACGAAGTTCATAAAGAACAAATATCAGGTCAGAGATTAGAAAAATATTCTCCGGGAATACTATATATTGTTCAATAAATAGATACAATTTAACTGAAATATCCACTTATGTAGATTTTTGTTTCCCCTTAGTCCCTATTCAACGTTTCTCTTAATCGAGATTAATCCCGGATCGAATCTAAATTTCGGACACGTTCTAATCGTATTTTAACAGTCGATCCCGACGTATTTCACCGAGATAATGAAATGAATATTTCAAGGGCTCCGTCAATCCTTTCGCGAACGGTTAAACATCAACGCGATTAAATCCCTGTCGTTCTGCTCCTTGAGAACCTGCCTAGGAGTCTTCAATTTTAAATTGCGCGAGGTAGAACGGCACAATTATTGCTGAATTAAGGCAAGTAGGTCGGTGAAGTTCGCCGGATGTACAGAAGTAGAAGCAACGATAAGATTAAGTGAGCAATATCATTCGAAGATGCGACGAAGGGAAAGGAAGAAAAAGTGGACAAAACGAGGGGAGAAGAAATACCTTGAAATACCGAGGAGATGCATCGAGAATAACGCGTTTTTCTCTGGTTAATTAAATAATTCAGTGGCAAGTAGTTGCTCAACTTTTGAACCAAGAGGAAGTAGTTATTCGTTTATCTGGTAATTTCATAAATTCTGAATTACTTTTCATTCATTCCATACTGCACACGTTACTTATTTTTGTTACTTCACGTTTTCTTCATTTTTTCCACGTTTCTGTACTTCTATTTTAAAAAATTTAAAGAACAAGGAAATTTAGAAATTAACAAATTAGAATTTAGAATGATCTAAATTATCTAAATTTAGAATTAAGAAATTTAAACGATATTTAATTTCGCACTGAAGATTCACAGCCACATCTGTTATTTTTCAACTTGTTAGAAGGCTAGTTTTGAGTTCAAGACATCAGCTTATATTTGTCATTTTTTTCTTTAAATAAGAAATGAATATTTTCTGTGAAAATTCTAATTCTGTCATTCTCTTATTTTATCGAAATTAAAGAAATGAACGATTATTCTATCCATTGACCAGCTATCGGCGCGTATACTTTTTTCAAAGCTACATTAAAACGTTTAAATTATACGAAGCAACTTATTCTTAGCATCCTTCAAATTTGTCTCGACTTATTTAATTTAATAGTCGGAGTATTTATTTCCAGAATGTCGTTCAAACAGAGCTCCATACTTGTCCGATCTAAGAATAAAAGCAGATTACATAAAACGCAACTCTACGATAAAATGTTACTAAAGATTCTCACTGTTTATCCGCCACTTAATTGAATTCCATTCTTACCATTCATCTCCTTATTTCATTCATTCGAATCTCCGCAAATAAACGCAGGCTCGGTTTCAAAGAGAATTCTCGTCAACCGATGGCAATCTTCCAAGATGTCTCATATTCACCAACACCCCCGCAAATGTCCACTTTGAAATCGCGAAAACAAGTAGTCTAACAATATTACACGTCGCTCGTGTCTTGTGCAATTCACAATTTTATACACCGTTTCGTGTTTAAATATAATTATCGGCCATCCACCCGACGAGTTTTGCTAATTTTATTCATTTTCGCGAATTAATGAGCGAAACGTTCTGGATGAATTTGACTAATTTCATTCATTTTCGTGAATTCTGATTAATAAGTGAAATACTTAGCTTTATTTTGAGAATCGTGTAATTTAATAGCTGAAATATTGATTTAGCTTCAAAACACTGATCTAATTGTAAGTCATCTTCGTGTTCCTATTTATTTTTCCTGGTTTTTCCAACATTCTTTCAGTTTACGAATATTTGCAACTTTCACTGCTCTCCTTCCACATATTTCTCTAATATTTTGGCATCTATTCCTAATTTTTGACTCCTTTTAATTCAGCAAATTAAGCTGTTCATCGCGAGTTTATATATTTCACAGCAGAGAGCTGAGAAAAAGTCAGCATCGTCGTAACTTTGGTAACACCACGAGAGAATTACCGTAAGATCAGAATTACCATCGAATTACATCAAATTCACTCACTAAACAATAAATATTTCAGATGTGCCAGAGCTGAAAAATCTTGCATATAGAAAATCCTCTTTTCTATGCAAGGCTTACTTCTGGTACACGTCACGCAAAAGCTATACTGTATTTTACCACCAAAAAAATTTAACGCACAGTGCAAGATACGAATAATGATCTCTCTAAATTTCATTTCAGTAGCTCTGGTAGATTTCCTGCAAAAAATTTCTAAATAACATCTACTTTTCGACCGTTTAACCCTTTCACTGCTGTTGGCGCTTCGAAAATTTTCTCGCGCTGTGCTTTTGGCAACTTCCAGCATACATTTACCATAATTCAATCCTTAACCTTTACCCTTTACACACTTCCATCCTAATTTAATAAACTGACAAGTTCGAGCAATTTTTCAAAAATTTTAAAACGCCTAAAGAAAAGATTTTGCCCAGATCTTACTCAGATCTTCTGAAAACCCAATTAATTGAATTCCATTCTTACCATTCATCTCCTTATTTCATTCATTCGAATCTCCGCAAATAAACGCAGGCTCGGTTTCAAAGAGAATTCTCGTCAACCGATGGCAATCTTCCAAGATGTCTCATATTCACCAACACCCCCGCAAATGTCCACTTTGAAATCGCGAAAACAAGTAGTCTAACAATATTACACGTCGCTCGTGTCTTGTGCAATTCACAATTTTATACACCGTTTCGTGTTTAAATATAATTATCGGCCATCCACCCGACGAGTTTTGCTAATTTTATTCATTTTCGCGAATTAATGAGCGAAACGTTCTGGATGAATTTGACTAATTTCATTCATTTTCGTGAATTCTGATTAATAAGTGAAATACTTAGCTTTATTTTGAGAATCGTGTAATTTAATAGCTGAAATATTGATTTAGCTTCAAAACACTGATCTAATTGTAAGTCATCTTCGTGTTCCTATTTATTTTTCCTGGTTTTTCCAACATTCTTTCAGTTTACGAATATTTGCAACTTTCACTGCTCTCCTTCCACATATTTCTCTAATATTTTGGCATCTATTCCTAATTTTTGACTCCTTTTAATTCAGCAAATTAAGCTGTTCATCGCGAGTTTATATATTTCACAGCAGAGAGCTGAGAAAAAGTCAGCATCGTCGTAACTTTGGTAACACCACGAGAGAATTACCGTAAGATCAGAATTACCATCGAATTACATCAAATTCACTCACTAAACAATAAATATTTCAGATGTGCCAGAGCTGAAAAATCTTGCATATAGAAAATCCTCTTTTCTATGCAAGGCTTACTTCTGGTACACGTCACGCAAAAGCTATACTGTATTTTACCACCAAAAAAATTTAACGCACAGTGCAAGATACGAATAATGATCTCTCTAAATTTCATTTCAGTAGCTCTGGTAGATTTCCTGCAAAAAATTTCTAAATAACATCTACTTTTCGACCGTTTAACCCTTTCACTGCTGTTGGCGCTTCGAAAATTTTCTCGCGCTGTGCTTTTGGCAACTTCCAGCATACATTTACCATAATTCAATCCTTAACCTTTACCCTTTACACACTTCCATCCTAATTTAATAAACTGACAAGTTCGAGCAATTTTTCAAAAATTTTAAAACGCCTAAAGAAAAGATTTTGCCCAGATCTTACTCAGATCTTCTGAAAACCCAATTCAATTCTTCCACAACGAATTAAATTAACCCACAGCTGCCAACAATCAAGATGCGTACAAATTTCTTAAATATGCAACGTACATCTGTCGAAAGAATCATTCCAACACAAAATTCGCCAGAACTAGAAAATAAAATCGAGCAGAACACATCCTGAAACCACTGAAACATTCCAAACATTTCCCACTTATCCCAAGACACCCCGTGTAACGAGTACAATAGAAGATTATGCACACTTACGATTCACGTTGAGGATAACCAGGCCAATTTGCGGCGACACTAAGTTGGTGTTGCTGGATTCACAGATGAGCCGGGCCTTCAGGTGTTGCCTTCCAACTTTAGGATAGGACAAGCGGTTAACCGTCAGGCCAGACTCAGGGTTGTAGTGATAGGACTCGTCTATCACTGTGTTCTCGAGGTACCACGTCAGCTTCGGGGGCGGCCTGCCATCTCGTACCTCGCAAATCAGGTTCACGTCACTCCCCTCGTTGTACGTTTCGTTCCCGTTCAGTATCACCGGCTTCATCCCGTCCAGTATCACCGGCCTCGACGAAGGCACTGCGCGAAACACACACAGACACACGCACATGTATATAGGGGTGCATGATTGAATCAGCGGAAATGCGGATTGATTATTTGTCCGCCGCTTGAGAATGGCTGATCTATCGCGCTGGCTGCGTGCCGGCGTGATTTACTCGTGAAAGATTGATTAGGGCCAATTGAGTTCCGCTGATGCAAGTGATTTACCATTCGACGAATACACTTTTGTCGACAATTACGCGCGCGAAACGGGGGTACGGATTCGAGGGGAACGGGTTAAAAACCGGTGCGTGCAGCCTCGCAAAATTTGCACAATGGTGAAACAACGAATGTGCAAAGCAGCCGTTTAGCTCCCGACGAGGTGCCAGTTGAAAGGGTATTTAATTTATTAGTGCTCGAGATAGAGAGATATTCTTTTTTCAGCGACAAATAATTCTTGAGACACTGGAATATTGTTTGGGAGCATTTGTGAAACACCTTTCCGAACGAAAATACGATGCATACCGTTATTATTAATTTGTCGATGTTTTTTTTTTACTTTAGAGAGAGATGTTGGTATAGAAAAATTGACAGTGGAAATTCTGCATTTTACAGACGATTTCATATTCGAATATGATTATGGGGCGTCCACGAGATGAATTTTACTGATTTTATTAATTCTGAATTAACTTAATCAATTTCTAGCAACTGGACAAGGGTACAGCTCTGTTCCAAGTGAAATTAGAAGAAAATCGTAAAGGAAAACATTGCACTGTTTAAAAAGCTCTATGGTACGATTTTTTCCAAAGTGTCTGGGTGCAATTTTTTTACATGCATCGACTTATCAAATTATTCTACGAATGAAAGGTGAATTCATTGAAAACTCAACACTTTTCCTGAAAATTTACGTTTCACATTCTAAACATTTCTTCACACACTGAACAGAGTTGCAGCCTGACCAAGTTGCTATAATCACCCTATACATTCGAATTTAGCCATAACAGAAGGTACGTATAAAAAGAAATTAAAATATTCAACAGAAGCATCGAAAACCGTAAATAAGTTTTAAAATTGACCAATTAGTAATAAACAATGTCACCCTGTATATTCAAATTTAACTACAACAACAAGTACATATAAAAAGAGAAATTAAAATATTCAACAGAACGAAATTGAAAGGGTTAACAACGAACAGTGTCAGCCAGCAGAAAGAAAGTTCCTTAAGTTTGAAAAACAAGTCGATATCGGAGATAATTTCTGGTTAAGAAGAGATGCACTACTTACCGATAACAGTGAGATTCATCTTCTTATTTCTCGTCGGCGAATTCTTGAAATCTACTCGACACCAATAGATCCCTTCGTCCTTAATCTGCAACCGATCGATGCTGAGGTGAGCTGGATCCGACGCCGTGATAAAAAAAGCTCTTGGTCCCAATGCCTTCGGCGACGACCAGAGGTCAGCATTGCTGAACTGTCGACGACCACGGACGTCGAATCTGAAATCATCGGTTGTGCTTTTTTGTAGAGATGCCAGGCAGAAAATCATATTATGTATTCCCTTTATCGTACATCGCACGTGTGTGTCGAGTCAGTTCCTTTCGCAAAGAGAGTTTCTCAGTTCCTCTGCGAACTTTGCGAAAGAAATTTCAAGCGTTGCGGTTCATCCTTGCGAAATAAATTAATTCGACTAAAGTGTTTACTCGTTTTATTCGTTGTTTAATTATATTTGGTGTTTTATTTTATAACGAATCTAATTTACATATAAATTCCAATTTTAAATTTCAATATATGATAGATATAAAATTTAATAGATTACTAACGAATGATAATTTATAAATTATGAAAAATTCGTGGAATAAACTGCAACGCTAGATTTCTATACTATGTGTTCAATTTAATTTTAGTTATTGTATCGATAAAATTTGAAAATAATCGTACCGAGACACATAATAACGCCTTTTTAACACGAAGCTATGATTTATTACAATCAAATGCTACAATCGAATCGACGAAAAGCTGTACACACGTTTTTCCATTTGTTTTTCTACGATTCCGTGCGGCCGCGATTGATTAACTGCACATTGAGCAACAGTTGCAATTAATAGTTATGAAGAAAAGCCACTTGGATTTATGACCATTATGAGTCCGCTACGTGAAGTTAATTATCAGTACATTAGCTCTCCAATTACACGCACAGGTGTTATAAATCGTTCGTTCATATTTCACTCATTCGGAACTTTATAAACTCGAAGCGAAACATAATTATCGGCGATATTGCGTTGCATTTTTATTCGACAGCTCTGCCGGGGGAGATTTATTAAGAGGCTTGCGATTGTAACGCGGGAAGGATTTCTGCTGGATACGAATTAACAGTTCAATTCGATACGAAGCGAGACGAGAATTTTCGCGAAAGCAACACTTGGAATTTCGAAGATCCGACTGTCGATAATGCTCTTCGAATCGTCCGTTCTCGTAGGTCTTTAGTTGGTATTAGGTTCATACGCGATAGTTGCTCTTCAAGTCCTCGACGATCCTTCAATCTTACTGGCAATCTCCGCGAGTCATTAGTAACACAACTGTGGAGTGGATAATCGCGACTTATGTGTCTGATTTTGCACGAAGAATAACATTTTTATGGGAAACTTGCTATTATTTATGGTTCAGTTGCAAGGAGCATTTCAAAATTTATAAAAATAGTGTAATGAACTGTATTTTGACTTTCTATTTGCTGCTGTTCGTCATTACGATGAATGGTAACTTAATAATAATTTATTAATATATATTCAATATTTCCTTTCCTTTTTTAATCCATTGACTTATGATTCTTTTCCTGACTGTGCATCTAAGCGTCAGCTATTCGCTGTTTTAGTACAGTATAAATGTTGCTCTATCGTTCGAACTAGAACTGTGCAAATATTTTCAAAATTCAGTCTTTGCGGTCAAAGAAACCATCGTTGTTTTAGCTAAAACCGAAAGCAATCTCCTTGAAACCTTGTCGTTTCTTCAATTCTCAATATTCCTTTATTGTTCCAGTTTCGACTATTACCACACGTCTACAGATTAAGAATATGGTGGCATTTTAAGTTCAGATAACTATTACACAATGTCTGATATCATGTGAGCCATCCAGAAGGATATTTTTCAAGGCGCTCCCTTCACGGTGGTCCTATTTCACCACAAATGGATATTTTCACTTGTACAAAAATTCTTGCGTTCTTAAAAGACGATAGAACAAGCATACAAATTTTCAGAACTATACGCGTACCACTTGCTGTTTCAAATTCCCGAAAAACCAAGTTTCTTTCAGCCGTCACAGTACAGAAGGAAAAGTTAACGTATTCGTCAACCCTCAGTCTCGCAAATTAAACCTGAACTTGCAATCCCAATTTTTCTCGCTAACACAATTACTTATATCACATCTTCACCAGAATCTGTGCCAAGACTAAATACTTCATCCAAGTCAAGAGATTCAACATTCTCCATCTACTTCTTCCAGTCCACATACGACCAGACGTTCCACGCAAAATCCACAGGACACCCCAGCACCTCGAGCCGCAATCCCGACTTCGAGAGCTCACAGAGAGTCCAAGCTCTCCGACACACCGTGAGCGATCTCCGCGGAAGAAGCACAGCGGAATTATAATCCAACAGGACGAAGGGGGTCGCGTGCACACGCCGAATCACCTGGGGAGCCATACTCCGTGCGTGATTGCATATTAAGAGTTCGTAAGGGGGGGTTGAGAACGAAGCGGTAGAGAGTAGAGCTCGGTGGCTGGAGAGCAAGACGAATGTCTCGGTGAAACAGAAAGAGGACGAAGAGAGAAAGGAACCTCGTTCGCCACCCAGCGGATCTCTACCTGCCCTTCTTGCTTGATATCAGGTCAGAAGGATGGTAGCAGGTTGAAAGAAGAGGGAAACGTAGGAGACCGAGGAGCATGGAAGCCGACGGTTCCTCACGAGCGACTAAAAGTTAAATTGCGTTCCACGACTGCACAGGAGTTCGGATTTCCGCTCGTGACTGAGTATTCCCAAAGCTATCCTACTCTGCCGGCTGCTTCCGCGGCATTGACGTTGAAATACGATTTAATTCTTCCACTTCGCACTTCCAGCAGACGAGGAAAGCGCTTCCGTGACGTGCCGCTGCCGCCCGGACTTCCGTATGGCTGCTTGCCTTCAGACCGCCGGCCCTTAGGGCTTCTCCACACGGATGCAACACACGCCACACAGACAGAGAAAGGGAAACACACCGGTTGGTAGGTATTCCTCCATCCTCGTCTCTTTTCAGAAAATCACCAGCTTTCCGTCGGAGCTAGAACGATCCGTGGATATAACGCGTTCGTTCGTTCGACTGGCTTTCGACGAGCGATAACCCTGGAAAGCGATTTCTGGCTATCAGTCTTCCAGCCCTGGCTGAATCTTCAGATCGATCGTTCGGCCTCTCTCTCTCTCTCTCTTTCACTCGCGTGCCTCGTCGATCACTCTCGCGCTGATTCGCGGCGATTTCCCAAAGAAGAATCGCCAAGTGAACGTTCCCTGAACGCCGGGGTTCCATGGAAATCAAGCCTGGTTTCTCCGCGTTTTTATTGGCAAATCAGGAACCGCGAATTCGAGGATTCGAGAGAGGATCGACGGTACGCCGTGAATGGAACCGCGGTATTGCAAGAACTGGTCCCTAGTGGCTTCTGCGTCGGGCATACCTTCGTTCGAACGTGTACGTGTTCGTTTCCAGAATTTCAATTTTATAATTCGGACGGAATTATGATTCGTTGGAATAGTAGGAATTTAAATGTCTACGAAGTAGCGGTGCAATTCGGAATTAGGTGAATGTACGTGGAAAGATGTAGAACAAGTTTTTTTTAATAGGAAGCTTCATTTATGAATAGTGCGGCCTTCGGGTCTTTTCTATTTTTGTTTTTTATAACTTTTGCTGTTATCAAGCTTATGTTCCTTTAATATTTTATTAAAGGTTAATTGTCTAGGTTTCTTATGGCGATTTAATAACAAAAATTGTTGCTCCCAAGGTCTTTGGGTCTTTCTTCAAGAACACTCTAGGCTTAAAAATTGATGGAGCATGCGTACCACTGAATTAATTTTCTTAATTACCAATCATTCCCTTGTAAAGATATATCCCACGTCTACGTCTGACTAATATCACTGCTAACTACTTGCATCGCTATTCAGATTTTTCATATTAGATAGTGAAGAATAAATAATAAAATAAAAGTAGGGACACACAGCTTGGATTTGACATCGTTGAAGTCTCTTATGAATCACTATGAGATAGCTAAAAGAGAAAATTATTCTTGCACTGAAATTTTTATTTTATTTATTCGAAAATAGGAAAACGCTACAGAAAAGGCTTGCAGAAGAGTAAGCACGCATGCACTATACAAATCTTCGATATTGATTTGTTCGGAAATGAAGCTTCGTATGAAAAAATATTACTCTATATTTTTGACCTATTTTTTATCGTGTAAATTCGCCAGTTTTTGGGTTGTATCACTAGTTCCAAGACACCCTGTATATTTTATTATCAGACGAAACGAAACGCTATTGTGCAAGTATTTGTAAAGTGTGAGAAAATATCTTCATTATAACAAAGTAGTGTCTTTATAAATTACTTTATGCATAATCTTTCGTCCTTTTATCATTTTAATGAGTTTTCCAGGCGGATTTGCTTTAAATTCTAAAGTGATAAAAGACATGGTTGAAAGCGTTTTTCTCTATTAAAGGATTAAAATTTCGCTATTTTTATTCTGATATTGTTTTAGAGTACTTATTCACGTCACTGTTAAGTGTTCAAAAAATATATAGTTTAATTAAAGTCCATTTTAATACACAAATTGTAAATTTTTGCGCATTCATTTTTTTAGAGACTCTTCCCCTTGTCAACTTCATTTTCCAGCTCTTGTTCACATTGTTATCAAAGATATAACGACGAATAATTTTCAATACATTAAAATATTTTCCATTGCAAACAGTAAATAAAGCTTCACCGGTTTCGTAACGAATTTACATCTTCACACGTTAATATTGAGGAAAACACTGAAAGCTTCTCAGCAATATGCAGAAATCTAATATTATGCAATCTCTCGGTTACATCACCGATCAATAACAACTTACACAATCCGGAGAATACGTAGAAATCAAATTAAACTGAAATGCTAAGTTACAATAATAAAAAAAGAAAAAGATACGATAATTTCTAATATTCAGAAGGCACTAAAAAATATCAAATGAAATTTCCGCCGTCAATGTTTTATCACAAGTCATTCTTTCGCTCCTCCGCCATTCGACTGCGTTCGATAATAGACTATTAACCCTTTCGCGAGAAAACGACTCTCGGACGGCCGTCCGCATAATGCACGCAATTTAAATGTTTCAAAGAAGAGCGGCGAATGGAATTGGACAGATTCAATTCTGTGGAATGATGTCCCTTAAGAGCAGTCTGGGACGCTGTTCGGAGATTTCGCAAATATTATGGAGAATTTTTCGCGAAAAGTCGAAGGTAACGTAATGAAAGGAAAATACGTAGAATCGGAAAGAGAGTAGGAGAGAGGGTAGACAAGGAAAACGAGGGAAGAGAAGTGTAGTCGGTGAAGGAAACGAAGGAGGCGAATCGATAATGAAGAAAATCGAATGACCGAGCTTGTTGACGAAGTGAAACGTTCCAAATGGCCGAATAAATCGGTGTAATCAGATTAGGAGCCAGATTAAGCGGAAGCTACTACGCAACAAGGGGTAGAGCGATGGGGGAGGGGAGAAGTGGTTAGCTTTAAAAACGTTAACAGCTCTGTCAACTTAACTCGTAAAAGAGATTCCGAATATAATATCATAATTCGCTGGAGTTTTACGGCATACAGAGGAGTAGATTTACATATAAAACAAGCTAACGCTTATCTCTCGACACGGGTTTGCTCTAGGGCAGAAAAGCGCTTCGTTTCGTCGGATTAGTCAAAAAATTACACCCGTTTATCAGACGTAACGCTGTTTAGCGACAGTCCCAAGTACTGTTCCATTCTTTTCAACGTACTCCATTAATTTCGAAAATACAGAGGATCGTTTGTGTCTTCCGTTGCAATGTGTTTTACCGTGGAAAATAATAGAGAGAACGTAGAATATTGTACAATTTACAAGAAAACGTCGAAGAACAAACATTTCTTGTTATTAAAAACAGAAAGAAGAAACTTTTTATATTTCCTGACTAAGAACAACAAATAAAAAATCAAAGAACACGTACAGATCACTTTTTTAATTATCAGAAAATTTTGAACGATGTTAAAAGAGATTACAGTTAAAGACTTTCCTTTGAAACACGCAACGAAACAATAACCCTTATATTTTGCATAATCAATTAAGAAACCGAGGCAAGTTAATTATGTTTTTACTAATCAGGATAAAATTCAGAAAGAAATTGCTGCGATTTGCAAATATTGGACAAAGGGTGGCCCGAAAAGTATTGACAAAATTAACAAAAAATAATTCTCTCGATTCCCCCCTAATACAAACATATTTTTAAATAATTCATACTTTACTGGATTCCCAATACTTTCAGCCAAGGCTGCATTCACAGCCAGAAAATTCACGCGAAACTCACCGTCGTTCCCCTACAACCCCCTAAAAAAAAAGACGAGAAAATAGCGTGCGACCAATCGAGAGAAACCAGCGAGAACGTAAGAAACGATATTCGTTCCCGGCCATTTCGTACCCTTAACAGTCTGGCTCACGTATGATAAGCGAGGCAGCATGTCTGGTAATAAATATTTTACTGCTAGACTCGGAAGAGGGTGTACAAAGGAGACAAGGAGAAAGGCTTGTCGTTGGGTGGTGGCAGAAGGGGTGTCTCTCCGCCTCTAAATTTAAAGTTTCTCCTCTTGAGGCGAGGATTAAACTGACTTTACAACAGGCGACGACCTATCCGGCCATCCGATTCACCCCATCCCTCTCTCTCTCTCTCTCTCTCTCTTTGCTTTATAGAGAAGGGAAGAAGCCGGCAGAGAGAGAGAGAGAGGGAGGCTTGAGACGATGCATTGTCTCTCCCGCACATATCTTACACCTTATTACATTTCTTAAATATGATCCGACGGGCAGCAACGTCGACAACCCCCACCATCTCGTTCCCCCAGTGAAACTCACACCCCTGTGACGTGTCGCGCTTCTTGGCGAAAGCGGCGAACTTCGAGGGGTTGCGGGTCGAGCACCATTCTATATGCAAAATTTCACGGGTCGCAGAAGCGAAATAGCAAGTCGGCAAGCAAATGAAGTTCACCGCGAAAAATAACGCGAGGAATTTCTGGACCGCCTCTCTCTCTCTCTCTTCCTCTTCATCCCCCTGTACCATGGCCTCTCTCTCGCCATGCACTGCTCCCCCTTTTTTTTTTATTTCTTCGGGGCAATTTATATTCCCGGATTATCGGGTTTTGCGGAGAATTTTAAATGCCGCATAGCCTACCGCGACATCTTTGTAATCGTCGCTTGGCTTTTCAGGCTTCCTGATGAATTCGAGGCTTGCACACCCCCACGATTCAGGATTATGGGTGGAATTTTATCGATGATTGCGGACGAAGGAGAATTTAGTTTGCCTGTCGTTACCACGGGATTTCGAATTTGCTTCCGATATTCGGTGTGTTATTTAGTGTTTAACCCTTTCGCTGCCTGTATGTGTATACACGGTGATTTATGGGGAATTTATTTTCGCACTTCACAACGGAAGAATTTCTTTCAGAACAAAATTTCAAATAAAATAATAGCTTAAAATCAGAACTGACTTATTTATTACCCCCACACGCAGAGGAGACAATCGTTTTTTTCATTTTTCTTCTAAATTTTGCACTTCAATAATTGCCTCTTTAACCCTTTCGCTGCGAATACATGCAATTTAAGAATTTATTTTCGCACTTCATAAATAAAGTATCATTGTTGACTTGAAGTCAGGGGATGCCTTTGACTATCGTGGAACAGTTGATTTTCAATTATACGTATTTTGATTTTTATCTCAATACAATGATTATCGGAAATTTTTGTCTCAAGTGTTCCATAGCGAAAGGGTGAAAATTACTGAAACGTTTTTAGCAACGTTCTAGGTGAGTTTCTTCTTCTTTTGTGTTACGGTTGTTTTAATTATAACAGCGGTTAGGATAGTTCTGGTTTGATTGTTTATCTGTGATTAATCGAACATGAAGTTCACTGGCTCACCTGTAAATTGGCTCTGCAGCTCCTTCCTTGTACCAAAGCACCATGTTGAGGTCGTCGTTGTCTTCGGACTGAATGTTGCAAGGAAGCTGCACCTTGTTCCCCAGCACTCCGTTAATAGTAACCATAGGTACTGCAAGAGAAAACGTGAAATGTTATTAATTAATTTTACGTAGGACTGCAAAACAGACAATTCTGTTAGCTTTCAGAATCATTACTAATTCTGAGAATCCTATAATGCATAAATTATCAACAATTCAGGAAAATGTATCTAATTTGTAAAATTTAAGAAACTCAAGCTGAGAGTATGAGGATTTCTGTAAATTTAAAACTGTCCATTTTCAGACTAAATTGGTTTTTATTAAAAATAAATAAATTTTCCAAATTTTCCATACACTTGAGAAATATAAGAATTCCAATTTTTCCATTATAATAAATCCACGAAACGTTGAAATAAAGCAGCAACCAAATTAATAATTACAATTGCAATTCTCGAAGAATGAAAAGAACGAGAAAGAAGAATTGAATGCATATGTCATTTTTCCATAATTAATTACATTTAATTCAAATCTACTCCCTAATCAATCATATGCAAGATTACCCCACATCGAATTTACTCGAAACCGAACCTGCATTGTACCCATTTTTCAAGCTAACATCAATCACGCTCGGAAGTATAAGTGAAATTTCTTTCAAAATCAATCAACTCTCACTCGAATAACTGAAGCATCGAAATACGTAATCCCATCATTAATCAATTTAAATAACAATCTGTAACAGAGCTCGGCAGTCTGTTTTCCACCCTTGCGTAAACAGCAGTCCTGTCAAATTAAATGACATATAGGCCCTTACCGATATTTACTATAATACAATCTTCTGTCTCGTTTCTTCTTTTTTATTTCAACGTGTATTACTTCGTAATATGACACGTCCCTTGCCTTAAACTTCCAGAAGCGCAACGAAATAAAAAATAGAACACGCAAATTAACTCTCCCACAATTATGTCACAGAAGAACTTGTATCGGTGGCACAGTCAAGTAGGATTTAGCAGTGTTCATCTAACTCCCAGATTCTTCGCTATTCTACGATCTTTCAAAAAAACGAAATGACTATGAAAATATTAAAAAAATTATATAGTAGGTACATATAACGTTCAGCGAAATTCACGAAACACTCCCTTATGGCCGGATCGTTCGATTTTACTCCAGTGTTTATTATCGTTAATACCTAATTTCTTTCAGTTTCTAGTCTTTTCAGCTTTCAACCCTTCGACAGTTTATCCCGTGTGAAACTCAGGCAAAGCGTCAAATATTCAACTGTTCGACTCAAAAAAGTCTCTTAGAAAGAAAGTTAAAAAGGGACGAGATATTACTGTCACAACTGTGACCTAGGGTTATGTATCCCTTGTTTCAAAAATGGCCACACCAACGTAATTATTAAAAAGATAGAAAAGATGAAATGTAGATTCTTTTTACCATAATTCATAATTTTATTAGACTGTCGAAGGGTTAAACATACGTATTTCCTCATAGAATATTATAAAACACTATGGTCACCAGTGATAATAAAAAAATAAACTTCACCTTAAGATCTCCTCCACTCCTTTCCCAAAAGAAAATTTGTCCACAGTTTCACTACCTTCCAAGATGTCCCAGCGTATCCAATAAAAAAAAAAAAAGAAGACACCCCATACATAGAAAACTAAGAAGAACAAGAACAATTTTGCAAAAGCGAAGTTAACCCGTTTCCCCGAGCGGGCAAAGTGAAAGAGTGAATTGGACGATCGGCGGGGTACACGCGCGCACG